CCAAAAAATTTTGAAAATTTCATAATAAAATATTTAAAATTTCCAGCTTCAGCCGTTTCCAGCTTCAGCCGCAACACATATTTTACTGACAACTATTTCTTTACAATTTTTCTTTAACAAACCCATTTCTTTGACAACTATTTTTTGATATAATTATTGTCTCTATATTTACTTTTCTGATATACTTTTTCAACAATGTCAGAAAAATGCTTATTAGTGAAATAGTTAATAAAAAAATAGTTTTGTTAGTGAAAAAATTGTCAAAGAAATAGTTATTAGTAAAATATATTTCAGTGAAATATTAGTAAACCAAAAGTTATAAAACTCATTAAGACACATTAAATGATGGTTAGATCATCAAAATTGGTTTAGTGGATGCCAAGATATCTTCAAAAAACATTTTGCTAGCTATATAAAATTTTATATAAACTATACTATTGATTATATAGAATTTTATATAGTCAGCAAAATGTTTTTTAAAGATATCTTAGTATCTACTAAGTCGACTTAGATGATCTAACTATCATTAGATGCATCTTAATAATCTCTATAACTTTTATTTAATATACAAGGCCAATTAACTTAGTAGAAAAAGTTTCTTTAAATATATATTGTATTTTCATCTATAGTAATTTTTATACTGTATATAATTTGTATTATGTTATATTAAGATCATTTTTTATATGACTTATAGATTATTAATTAACTAAATTGATCAAAAAATCATTCTGCTAATTTTTATTAAGTGTTTCAGAAATTACAATATAATAATAGCTATAAACTTAATTTAGATTTATCTAAATCTAATATGGGTTTAAATAAACCCAGTTTAGATTTATCTGAACTTAATTTAGGTTTACTTAAACTCAAGTTAGATTTATTTAAACCTAAGTTAAATTTACTTGAACTCAAGTCAGGTTCAAATGAACCTAATCTAGGTTTACTTAGATTTACTTAAACCTAGTCAAATTCAAATAAATCAATTTAGACTCACTTGAATCCAATCCAAGTTCATCTAAACTCAAGTTAGTTTTAAATAAACCCAAGTTAGATTCAAGTAAACCCAATTCAGACTTACTTGAACTCAATCTAGGTTCACTTGAACTCAAGTCAAGTTCAAGTAAACCCAAGTCAGATTCAAGTAAACCCAAATAATATAATAATACTCAAACTAAAAAATAAAAATTTAATAACTGAAGCCTGAGAGCTAAAAAACTAAAAACTAAATTTAAAAAACTTAAAGCTAAAAAAAATTTAGATAATGCCCTCAGAGCATCACCCAGGTTTGAGAGCTTGTTTATTGGTTAAGATCAAAGCATAAATCAAATGATTTGTAAAAAAATTGTATATCTCTATGAATTACATTCTGATTGGTTTATTTCATGTCATGTGATCATATAACTAAGGTCAGAAGAGTCAAAAGTCAGATAGGGAGTGGCAATAACAAAAATGGGAGTAGCAATAGCAATTTTCTAAAATAAAGATAATTTATAATAGTAGAAAGAATTAAAAACCTAACAAAAAATTATTGTCTTATTATCATAAAAGTTTAAATTAGTGTGAATATTGATTACTAGCTACAGAAATGATTGCTATCAATTAGAAAAATTGATATTGGTTACTAATCAATGCATAATCAATTAAAAAATTTTCAAACAAGCAATACTAATCAATATTAATCGATTTTAATCAACATCAAAGATTGGGGTATGCGATATCATAGGATTTACAAATCTTACTATGATAAATCATATTCAGATTTTTTGCCGATCATCATTTATATTAACTTCAAATCCCTAAAACTTAAATAAAATTATAATTTTTGGATTCCTCGTTAGATGCTCTACAACAATATAGAGCCATTTTTTTTAGCTTTATTATGTTTAATAGCTAAAATTAAGAAAAAATAAGGAATGATTAAAAAATGGCTCTATTGTTGTAGAGGAATCCAAAAATTATAATTTTATCATTATAGACGCACTGGTTCAGAAGTTTTTGGCAATTGACAGGGGGGTGCTGCTTATCAATTAACATTTCCATCCGTCAATCGATTGCCAACCAATTTAAAAATTTCCTGATGCTATAGGTGTTTGAATACTTTTGTTCTCTATGCATTTGTACGTACAGATAATGTAAGTATTGCAGATCCAATAAATTCGGTTTTATATCCGAATTTAAGTTGAATCCGAAGGAAATCGGATCTAAACCCGAAGGTCGAATCCGGTTCCAAACTCTAGTCAGATTTCGCTAAGATTTTTTGAATCAAATCCTAACGAAAACGCTATAGAAGTTCGTGTATAGCTAAAAAAAAAAATCTTTAAATTCATTCGTTTGAAAGACTAGATTAGTAATAACTTGATTTTATCTGTTTCTGAAGGTTGAAATCTTTTTTTAGCTATGGAATCCTATAATTAAACTTAATAAAGAATAGAATTTATAAGCCAATAAGACGAACTTCTCCCAATATATCCAATATACGAAATTTGTGCTCTTATTGTTCCTACTTCCTGTCGTTAACCCTGATTCCGAATCCAGATCTTCCTGTATATATTACGTAACGTAACGATTTTCATACTGGTTGACCTAATATAAATAGATTAGAGTAGAATGAAAATTTATTATAAATATAATCGATTTTTGAATTTTTATCAAAAACATTATTTTCAATTTCGTAAGTATACGAACTTGAAAACTGTATCAATGCAAATCGAAACTAGAACTTATGCGGTATGTCATCTATAGGAAATTAATGAACAATTCATAAACATTTTTTTACTGATCCTTATATATATGGTTCATGATGGATAAAGCAAGCAGTTGAATGTTTGAATTCTTTACAAACAAATGCTGCTATTATCGAAGCAATTAATAAAACGGGTGGTAGTGCTAATTCAAGAAGTCTCCCGGAAATGAGAGAATTTTGTCGAAAAATCGGTTATGAGGTAATGACATTTAAATGAACTTTTTCCTTAATGAAAAGTTTTTTTTTATAATACATTTATTTATTTATCAAAAGCCACAAGATTTCGATAGTTTGAACATTATTCATGTAACTGGAACGAAAGGAAAAGGTTCTACTTGTGCTTTAGTTGAATCAACATTAAGAAATTTCTATTCATCGCGTAAAGGAAGTATGATAAACAAGATTCGAACAGGTGTTTTATGCTTTGAGCATGTACGTCTATTTTAGTAATTACATGGAATTTTATTAACACGACCTAAATGCAAAGGGTTGTTTACTTCTCCACATCTTGTTGCTGTTCGAGAACGTATTCGTTTGGATGGGACTATGCTGAGTGAAGAAGAATTTGCCAAATATTTTTTTGAATGCTGGGATAGACTTGAGTTAAACAATTTACAGGTTCAGATCATTATTTTTATCCAAATAAATGTCGCAGCTGATGCTGAAAACGGCTGATGCTGAAATTTTGATATGAAAATTTAAGATTTTTGGGGTGTTTTTGTCCGCTTTTCTTTTTAGGGTTAGGTTAGGATTTAGAGTTAGAATTGATAATTAAAGAGTATATGAGTGCTGCCAAGGGGAAAGATGTATCGGGCTTTCAATGTTCAGTTTGTTTACTGAGCGCCGTCTATGAAAATTTTATTATTGGGCTTTAATTATAGTTGGTAACAACTTACCACAAATATAATTGGAAGCTCGATGATAGATGTTCCCTAGAAGACACACAGTGAACAAACTGGACATTGAAAGCCCAATGACAGGTTTTCCTTTGGCAGCACTCATATGTGAATTTTAGTAGGGTTTATATTTTCAAATCGAGACTCAAATTTCTGAATCAGCCGTTTTCAACATCAGCTGCAACAATAAATGAAAATTTTAATTAATTTTACTGAAAACTTTCTCTTATTAAACAGCATGATGATGATAAGCAACTTAAACCAAACTATTTCCGATTTATCACGTTAATGGCATTTCATGTTTTCATGAAAGAAAAGGTTTGTAGTTTTATTTCAACTAGATTGTTATTCCTAAACTAGTGATCGATCTTTATTCCTAGTGATCAATTGTTTTAATATCCCAGGTGGACGTGGCAATTATGGAAGTTGGGATTGGTGGTGAATATGATTCAACAAACATTATAGAAAAACCCACAGTTTGTGGTGTATCATCTTTGGGAATTGATCACCAAAGATATTTGGGCGAAACAATTGATTCAATTGCATGGCATAAAGGAGGCATATTCAAGGTATGTTTAAATTTGTCATTAAGTTTAAATTACGAAATAATAAACTCTTCTTTTAAATAATAATTTATTTGATTAATAAGGCAAATATTCCGGCTGTTACTGTTGACCAGCCTGCTATAGCTTTGGACGTTCTGAAGAAACGAGCAAAAGACGTGAATGTAAGTAAAATAATATATATACAACTCATACCTTTTAAACTTATTGCAACTTGTCCAACAGGCTCCATTCATACAAGTTGAAACGCATACTAAGGAATCTTTGGGCAACATTAATATCGGTATTAGTATATAGATATAATAACTGTTATATTTATTTCTCGAGTAATTTTATTAAATAATGTCAATTTCAGGACTTGCTGGTCAACATCAACTCATAAATGCATCTCTCGCAATTGAGTTATGTCGTATATGGCTTGAAAAACATAGAAATATTAAATTTGATAATGAAAGAGTTCCTCAAGAGTTTGTTCCTGGACTTGTTAAAGTGCGATTGCCTGGTCGCACACAACAACTTGTCCTTGAAAAATATCCAAAAATTACTTGGTTTTTTGATGGCGCTCATACATTGGAGAGTATTCAGGTGAGTTTAATATTATTAAAAATTATTATTTATAATCATAAATCTTCAATATATTGTTTTAAACATTATGTTTTTAGGTATGCAATAACTGGTTTAATGAAACTGCGATATCCAAAGCGGATGAAAGGTAATTAATTACTTTATAATATTGGATCAAGTTATACTTTTTGCTTAAAAATTTTATACATTTATAGTCAGAAAAACAAATCCGAATCATTACCTAATATTGAACGAATCTTGATATTTAACTGCACTGCTAATCGCAATGGACCTGAAATGTTAAAAAACATAATATTGCAACATTCATATATCCATTTTGATCATGCTAACTTTTGTACAAATGTCACATTTACTACGAATCAATTTAAACCTGGTAAATTCAGATATATATGTTAAATATTGATATTAAATTTATTTAGCCTTATTAATTGAACTTGTTTATTTTTTGCTTAGATTTACAAAACAATACAATTAAAATTGATGAAAATCTTACCTGGCAAAAAACACTTGCAGAAATTTGGCCAACCTTAATACCAAAATCGCAAAAAAGTGAAGCGCATATTTTTCCTACAATACAAAATGCTATTAATTGGGTACTTGAACATTGCAAGGAGAATGAACGTGAAGTTCAAGTGTTGGTTACTGGAAGTTTACATTTAGTAGGTGGTGTAATGGCTGTGCTAGAAATAGATATTTAATTAATTTTTAAGGAAATAAAGACGGTACTTTATAGAGATTGATTTAGTATTAGTATTATTGAAAAATTACATTAATTAAACACATTTATTTGCAATTTTTTTCTAGTACCGTTATGTCTTCATAAAAAGTAAATTAAGGCAATCGAATATAAACGTTTAATGCTTAAGATAATAAAATAAAAAAAAGAGTCAAAATTATTTACCTCTTTGTTTTCAAACATGTGGTTTTGCAAATAGATGTTAAATAAATACAATGTTAATCGATTCTTAAACATTATTATATTTGAAAAATACATATTATGATTTGTGAATATAATATTATGATTGGTATTTTACAATTAGAAATGTTTGCATGATTTATTATATCTAAATTTTTTTTTATATTAAGGTGAGGTCATGCCTCTGGTTTTTATTAACATATACTTATTACAACAAGTCCTTTACATATATATTAACACAGAACTATAGAGACTTAGACTAATTTATCTAAACCTACTAGAGTGGTTTTGCACTTCCTAACTAGCTATTTCTAGTAATTACTTTTTTTTTTTTAATATTAATGGTGAGGCCATGCCTCTAACTTTATTGAATATTTAATTGAGATTATAACAAAAAGCATTAATCTACTTTTAAAATATTATAAAAAGAATAGAAGCTCAGACTAGTTTATCTGCAGCCTAAACCAACCGGAGTGGCCATGGCTCACCTAAATTTGAGTATTAGTAATAATGTATGATAAATTAGTTTGATATTTAATCCATTGTATATACCAAGAATTTATTTTAGAGCTAATATTAATAAAGGGGACAGGTTGAGATGGATGCAAAGTAGCATTAGAATGTGAGTTGTTAATAGAAGAGAGGGCTGTTGATCTTGAAATGCAATAAGGAATACAAATTTTATGATAAACTTGTTGGTTAAGGTAAAGTAGGAATTTTATTACAAGTGTTGTTGCTGTTTTCCAGTTGATAAGTTTGAAATAAGGGTAATAATTTCATCTGGTACTAGGTCAGATAGTGTTGAAAAAATTGATGGCGTGTCTAGCATGTTGTGTATTGACATACAATATAATTGTTTGATCTGGTTATATAAATTGTCTATTGTGTCAGAAGTAGTATCAAGAGTAGTTGTATTGAAAGTATGTTGTAGTGAATTGTCAATGAGGTTATATAGTATCTGGTTAGATAGGCAGTTTATCCAGTGAAGGTGAGAACTAGTGTAATGACATTGGTGGCAAGTATAAGAGTGTGTGTGATTATGTTTATATAGGTTGTGTGGAGTAGGAAGTTCATCTAGAAGAATCTTAATTCTAAAAGATTTAAAAGAAGATTGAAAGCTATGTGAAAAATTAGAGATTTTTTGATTATTATTTATATATAGCCAAGTGGCTTGCTAATTAATTTGGTTAAAATCTTGTTCTATTTTTGAAAGCAATTTTGAGTGATCCATAGCGTATAAATGTGAGTATGAAATATTGTATGGATGCTTCGGCAAGTGGGTAACTCTAAGGCAAAGTTTTTAAAAATTAGTATATAAGCTGATTTGTAGATGTTGTAAGACATAAATATTAGATATGGCAAGTTGTAATGGTTTTATGCAAGTTGGTCAGCAAGGTTATTGTAGTAATCATCTTGATGAGCAGTGACTTTGTGAAATAAGATATAAATATTATAAGACTTAATAAAGCTTATAAGTGTATTTCAAAGTGAAAAATATGATGTATATGTATATAATAAGATAGTAGGTGAGTGCATAAGACTTTGATATTTAGAGATTACAAATTAAGAGTCAGTATAAATATGTATAGTGCTGTCTCTGGGAGCAGTAATCAGGGCTGACAGAATAGCAACAAGTTCAGACTTGAAGAAGCAAGGCCAGAGTTTTGTCTGAGTATGAAATATATATACAATAGAGTTGTTAGAGACCTGAACCCATCCAATACCCATAGAGCATTGAGAGATTCCTAAGTCAATAACAGAGCCATTAGTATAAAAGTGAAGTTCAGATAAGTTAGCATTGTAGTTCACAATTTGTTAAAGATTGTTTGTTAATAAACTAGGTTCAAAGATTGTTAGAATTGAGTGTGTAGTAATGCAAATATTAGAGAAGTTTGGAGTTTGAGTGGGATGTCTAATTGCGATTGAATATATAAGATCTAGATGATTAGCATTAAAATTAAGAGTTTTGTTTGAAGTGTTTACTCAACTAAAAAATTGAGTTAAAAGGATAATTGGAATTAAAATTATATATTTGTTAGCAATTGTTTGAGAGTTAAGAGAGCAGCCAGGACATATGTGTGATTGAATTGGTGAAAGAGGATATAGGCGAGTAAACTGTGACTCAATATGATATTGCTAGTGAGTAATAAGAATATTTCCTGATGAAGAGGGTTGTCTTCTAACTTTACCAACAATTATTTGGTTGTTAAGTACTGTAATAAGCCAGGGCTTTTTCTTTGAAAAAAAGTAACCAGTTGTATAGCAATAGTAATTTGTATCTGATAGATGCACAGGTCGAAATAAAGTATATCAGGTTCATATTGGCATTTTTTAATCCTGTTATGAGCCTGATATTAAACTGAACTTTCGGCAGAATCAGATACCAATAAGAGTCCAATCAGTGTCATATCGGCATTAATATATATCGGTTATACTGATAGCTCTATAGAGATGTTGATAGAGCTATCGGATATAATATCAATAGCTATATCGATACTTCTATAGAGCTATTGGTATAGCCAATATGTATTAATGCTGATATGACACTGATTGGACTCCTATTGGTATCCGATTCCTGCCAAAGTTCGGTTTAATATCAGGCTTATATCAGGATTAAAAAATGCTAATATGAACCCGATATACTTTATTTTAATCTGTGATGTAAATTTTAGTATAGTGTGCGGTTAGCATAGTGATTAGTAATTTGATTTTCTAGATATGAAAACCAGAGTGGCTGTTTGCCTTTGGAATCTTGTGTATATAAGGAGAGATATGTTTCCAGTCCAGTAGACATGAGTTGTCAAAAGTTGTAAGTTGATCAAGATATAAAATATAATGATATCGAAGTTCTTTTTTGAAGATAAAGTATTTAGGATGTGAAAAAAGCAAGGATTAAAGAAATAGAACCCTCTTGGATGGTATATGGAATGCTATATATTGGGTTAGAAGTAAATGCTATACTAAGGTGCTTAAGAAGTTGAATAATATTAAAGTTGGTTGAGTGTTTATTAGATTTATCAATTTCAGAATTATCATGTATAAGAATACTGATAGATGACCATAGATTGTTCTAGAGTTGCTGAAGTTGAATGCGAGTACTAATGCCAAGAAGATCATGAGAATTGAGTTTTTTGGTAAAATTTGTAATATGGTGTTGTAATTGGATGTCCTATATGTTAGGAATGTTGTATAGTTGAGGGTGGAGTAGTGTACTAGTAGAAATAGTATGGCTGAGTTTGGTTTTGCTTTTTACAAGTTCAATATGACTAGTAAGAATTTTGTTACATATATTTTGGCTAAGAACAATGTTATGAAGATGGTATTCGATTGTAGAAATAATAACAGTATTGATAATATATTGTGCATATGTATCAGTGATTTGTTTAGTACTTGCAATTTTGATAAGATGTAATGACTCAGCCATAATGAGCTTGATCTGCTTTGTCTGTTTGTGATTAAGTGTAAATCAATATCCAAGAAACTTGAATGGTTAGTTTGAAGAATTAAGATTAAGTAAGTAGTTGTTATAAGTAATAGGGCTGTAGTTAGGTAGAGGATTTTTGATTGTAAGAATGGATTTAGAGAGATTTATTTGAATATTAGCAATGTTGTAGAATGACTCTGCTATAGCAAGAATTTGTGAAAGTTCTTGTTGTGATGATGCAATCCAAAGTGTATCATCCATATATGCAAGGACTGAATAGTGTGAGCTAAGCTTATTAAATGTTTTGTATTTAAGATTAGTTGGCCAAGAGACTTGTGTAGTATAACCTTTGAAGTTATTATAAATGAGTAGATCATAATATATTCTCCAAAGGAGAAGAGTAATTGTTTCACCCTGATCAATACCATTAAGTACAGGATATAAGGGAGTAAGACCAAGGTTTGTAATAACTTGATTTTGTCAATCAATAAGCAGATTAATAATAGTATTAATAATGAAAGTGCGAAGAGCAAGATGTTTGAGTGAGTATTATAAAAGGTTAAGATTCACAGAGTCATAGGCTTTACTTATAGAAGCCAAATTGTTTTTTGATTATATAGTGCATCCTTAGTGAGGTTACTAAGTATATACAAGTATATGAATAGGTATAGAAGTGCTATTGTGAGGTAATGCAACATAATTGAATAGTGAAAGAATTAGATATTGTGAGAATACAGAGCTGATTCTGTTGGTAATAATTTTTTATATACTTTATGAGTATGCTTAATGAAGCTTATAGGACAAGTAAGATTAAGGTCTCCATTGAATATATTTCGCTTTGGGATTGGATATATTCTGCTATATTTCCATTGCTTAGAAATTTGATTTGAGGTTAGGCAACAGTTAAAAAGAGCAGTAAGAGCTTTGATGCAGTTAGAATCTGCATGTTTAAGCATTTCATAGCTGATGTCTGTGGGACCACAGGCTTTACCATTAGGAAGTTTTGCTATGGTTTGTAATACTTTTTCTTCTGAAATTGGAAAAGTGAGGGAATTGTACCACTGAGAGTCAATATGTGGTTGTGGTTGATAATGTATAGACTGAAAGTTATTAAAAATTTTCTGGTCGATTGGTCGATATACTGTCCAGTTAAGAAAATGTGGTTGTATATGTTCTTTAATAAGATTTGGATCTGTGATGATTTGGTTGAGAAGTTTGATATTAAAGAAGTGAATAGAAGATTGATAATGGTTGAGAATGCTATTAATAACTTGTTTTGGTTTTGAGGAAAGTGTTTCACATCTTTTTTCAGATGCTTGTTTGATTTGCTGTCGAAGTAGAAGAGAGTTCTCAATTTGTCAGGCTTTATGCAGTTGTTTCCAAATTTCTTGGGCATGTTGAATCTATAGGTTAGTTTGAGAATATTAAGAAGAGGTGAATGGTTGGAGGTTACAATGAGATCCTAAATTAATCTTTTAGATTTTAGAATTGATTAGATTAGTATCCAGATTGTCATTACTATTTTTGACAATTTTAATTATATGGCCAAGCTTTTTAAGTGCTAGGTAAAGTGAAGTGTAGTGGGATGTATATTTGTGGTTGTAGC